GCTGCTTGGAAGGCTGAGGCAGAAGGATCGCCGGAGCCCAGCAGGCCGATGCTGGGGTGGCCGTGAGCATGCCACTGCACTCCAGCCTGGGCGACGGAGTGAGACTCCCACTCAGAAAATAAAAAATAATGGAGAAAGAAGCCAGGAGGCAAGGATGCTGCGAAAAGCAGGAAATAACCTCTCCCCCAGCGGGTCTAGAAGGAATCAGCCCTGCCCACATCTGGATTTTAGCTCAGTGAGGCCCGTGTCAGACTTCTGACTCCCGGAGCTGCAGAATGGTGAACGTGTACTCTGGTAAACCCCAAAGTGTGTGTTCCTTTGTCGCGGCAGCTGTGGGAGGCACACGTACCCAACTGTCCTACAAGTTCTGTCCCCAGATGAGGGTGGCATTCTCGGGAAAGAGAACTCGGCATCCCAGGAGCCAACAGGGCTAGACTTGACTCGACCACCCAGGAAATCTTCCCAGCAGTCTGAAACAGAGGTATCACCTCCATTTGAGAAAATGTCCCTAAGTCACTTCCCTGAGCGCACGCAGCTGAGCTCTGAACCCACCCAGCAGCTGACAGCTCAGGCAGAGACCCGATTTCAACCTCGGTTTACAGAGGTAGGGATGGTCTCCCCTCTCCTGGGGGCCACTGAATGGGCCGGAGAGAGACCCCACCCCTCGACCCGGCAAACCTGTGAAAAGGCTCCGCCTCTCCATGACTTCACGGCTGTCGCTGGATTTTGTTTTGAATCAAAAGGCGCCCTCTTAAGCCGACGTGGTGCCTCACGCCTGCAATCCCAGCACTTTGAGAGGTTGAGGTGGGAGGATCGCTTGAGGCCACCCAGGGCAGCGTAGAAAGACCTTGTGTCTAAAAAAAAAAGAAGTATATATATTTTTAAAAGAAAAAAAATAAATTATATAGAATATAAAAAATAAAAAAGGCCCCATTATAGCTCTGCCCTTGAAATTATGTAGCTAGCAATCATGCGTGCAATTTAAGGCTGGCAATCATTGCACCGGCTTGGGAGTTCCTGCAAGTGAGAACATTGAACCTAGGAGTCGTCTGAAATGTAGTGAAATCTTTATGAATATGCAATTTAGCAACTGGTGAAGCTGACACACTGCTGTAGATATGGGGACATTTAATAAGGTTCATTCTGACTTGGAAGCTTTCTTTTGGTCCATCACCCCTTCCTCCGACCCTCTCACATTTTGTGATCTCAACACATTTGGTGGCTCCCCAACTCCCCCCTTAAAACGTGAGCACCTGAGGGTCTATTCCGGTAGGGCTCCCCTGGGCCTGCCAACATCGATTAAGCAGCGACTGCATGCCTGGCACAGTTCTAAGCCTTTATGTGGGTTAACTGGGCTTTGTAAAGATCGCGTGTGGTAATCACTATTATTCTCTTCCAGTTAAAGAAGCCAGAACAGAGAGTGATCATTAACTGCTCACGCGAGAGGGTTGTCTGGCTCCCAAGAAGCCCCCAGACACTCCCATGTCCCTTTCCAAAAGTCTTACAAATCGTAATAACATCTACATGACATAAAACTCACCATCTTAATCATTTTAAGTACACAGTTCAGGGGCATTAAGCACATTCACGTTCTTGTACAGCCATCACCACTATTGTCTCCAGAACTGTCCCTTCTTCCCAAGTGGAAACTCCGTCCCCATGAAACACTCCGTCCCCTCCCCAGCCCAGGGTGTCCCCCTTGCTGTCCCTGGAAATCTGACGACTCTAGGAGTGGGACTTCACAGCATGTGTTTGGGAGTCTCACTCTGTCGCCCAGCCTGGAGGGCTAGGCTCAGGTGATCCTTCCGCCTCAGCCTTCCAAGTAGCTGGAACCACAAGTACGCGCCACCATGTCCTGCTAGTTTTTTGATTTATTGTGGAGATGAGGTCTTGCCAAGTTGCCCACACTGGTCTCGAACCCCTGGGTTCAGGGAATCCTCTCACCTTGGCCTCCCAAAGTGCGGGGATTACAGGTGTGAGCCACCACACCTGGCAGGACGTGTCGTTTGTCTGGCTTATTTCACTAAGCATAACATCCTCAGGGTTCATCCACGCTGTGGCCCGTGTCAGAATTTCCTTCCTTTTTTATAAGCTGAAGAATATTCCATTATATGAATGGACCACATTTTGCTTACCTGTATCACTACACGCTTATCAGCATGGCTGCTTTCAGAAAACCAGAAAAATTGAGCCAAGTGTGGGGGCTCACCCCTGCAACCCCAGCACTTTGGGAGGTTGAGGCAGAAGGATTGCTTGAGCCCAGGAGTCCGAGACTAGTCTGGGCAACATAGTAAGACCCTGTCTCTACAAAAAAATTAGCCAGGTGTGGTGGCATGCACCTGTCGTCCCAGATACTCAGGAGGCTGAGGTGGAAGGAGCGCCTGAGCCCAGGAGGTCAAGGCTGCAGTGAACTGTGATTGTGCCACTGCACTCTAGCCTAGGCAACAGAGCGAGATGACTCAAAAAATAAAAATAAAAAGGTGGCCTCATTTGGAAAGAGGGTTACAGCAGATGTAATCACTTAAGATGAGGTCACACTGGAGTAGCGTGGACCCTAGCCCACCTGGCCAGTGTCCTTAAAAAGGGGACACTGGGACACAGACACGCATGGAGGGAAGACACCATGCGATGGTGAAGCAGAGCAGAGATCACGGTGACACTTCCACGAGCCAAGGATTGCCGGAAGCTGGGGAGGCCTGGGACAGAGTCTCCCTCGGCCTCAGCGCTGCCCATACCCAAGCTGGGCCTCCTGGCCTCCACACCCGTGACCCCATCTGTGGATTTCGGTGGGGTCGGTGGCACTGTTCCAGCTGCCCATAGTAGCACAAGTACTCTGTCCCTACGTGGGATCCAGGCCTGGCCAGCGAGAAGTGGACGTGGGGGTGGGGGCTGGCTCCCCTTCCCGCTATCCTCGGGCGGTTGGCAGTGGCCCGGCTGGGAGGGTCCCATGCTACGCTTCAGGCCGCTGCCCCCGAGAGCACTCCACGGCAATCCAGGCACAACCTGAAAGCAGGTCACATCCCCAGCCCGGCTGCCTCCTCCGTGCAGGTTGAGCTCGGCTTTTATCGCCCAGCTGGGAAGTTCTCGACCCAGATTCGTCAAGGGGAGACGGACTCCGTGCAGGAGGCAACGTGTTGCACAGGCCCGTGTGAGCATGGAGATGGCATCCGTCCACCTGTCACTGCAAAGGGAATCAAACAGCCACCACCGTGGGGGCCACTCTGGAGGACTGTGTTCTTGGCAGCCCAGGCAGGGTGGCGAGGCCTGTGCCAGCCTGTCCCGAATGCTCTGGGTCCCAGGTTCCACGGTACGTGGGCACGGGTTCAGACGGCTCTTAGCAAGTGAAGCCCCCCAGAGGGACCCTCCCGAGCGCTGGCGGGGAAGGAGGGGCGAGAAGGCTCTGGCAGGCGACTCTGGGGGCTAACTCTTGCCCCTCACCCCCTGCCAATGCCGGTGCTGCCCACAGGCCACTCAGGCCGTGAGGTCTCAGTGGCCACTACCTGCAAGGAGAAAACGGGAATCACGCTCACAGACGAGATTCTGCAGACCAACATGTGTTTCTAGAAAGACAGAGGGATCTGGCGCCAGCAGGCCAGTGTGGGGTCAGCACCGCCCCGTTTATGCCCAGCAGCCAGTAGGCACTGGGCACGGCACGCCCGGGACCCAGCCGGTGGCATGGGAGCCGACCACCAGCACTGTACGCAGTCCCCAGCACAGAGGGGGCGGGGCTCATCAGGTGTCAATCACTGCAGCGGGCTGCCCACAACGCAGGCCCCACGCAGGAGTCCCAGTTCCCCCAGTTGCCGTCTGGCCTCTGCTGCCGGCAGGCTCTGCGACCTTCGGCAGATGGCCCCCGCTCCATGGGCAGTGGTGGGCCCAAAAGACGTTGCAGGCGAGGCTTCCGCAGCCCCGGCAGGGCAGGCGGCCGCCACGAGGACACCCCTGCGCCCAAGGGGGGGACCCCTGCCCTGTGGCCACTACGACGCGTGTGCACACACACAGAGGCCCAAAAGGTGCGAACTGTAAACTTTATTAATGGAAAATGGAATGCCTCGTCAACAGAAACCTTGTCTTAAAAAGGGTGGAGCAGGAACACATTTGTTTAAAAACCAGCAGCGCGTCCACATCACGTTGCGCCGCAGCACGGCAGGCGCTTCTGGGCGGGCCCGGAGCCCGCTGAGCTCCCCAGGAGCCAACGGTGCGTCCGCCGACCTCGAGGCCGGCAGGTGGGCTCAGTAGCGGCGGGCGAAGTGGGGGTGCGGGTGCGGGTGGGGCTGTGGGACTCTGCCGCTCCGGTCCTGGCCGGCCACTCCGCCACCTTCCGGTCCGCCACCTGGAACCGCGTGGCCCTGGGAATGTCCACCTTGTGCAAAGCCACCTCGCCTAGGAACAAAGGCCGACGGTTGGCCCCGGAAGGGCTCCGTGACGGGCCGCCGGGCTGCGGCGACTCTGAGGCCCCGGAGCGTGGGCGTTGCCAGATGAGAGAAATCGTAATCACACACTGTCCTCCAGGTAACCGGAGAGCATTCTCTGCATAAGCCGCAAAGAGCTGCTTTGGGGCTTGTTCTCGTAACATCCAACCCGGCTGGCTGATGAACATGCAAAGGGGACGCAGGGGAGGCAGCGTGGCTTGCCCCACCACGGGCAGGCGGGCCGCGGGCAGTGCTGCTTACCCCACCACGCCGCCCCGACTCGCCGCGTGCCCTGGCCCCGAAGGCCCCGACAGGCCTCTCTCGCCACCTGGAAGAGAAGAGGAGTGCCGACAATCCCTCCTTGGGGAAGCCTTGGGACACGCTGGGGGGCGCCGCCCTTTCCAGAGAGGTCTGGGACCACAGCCACCCTTGCTTCCGGGGTCGGGAGCCGGCCCGTACCTGGCCACCTCGCGTGCTCCCGGCCCACCACGCCTGCGTCCATGGCGCCCTGCCAGGCGCGCGCCGGATGCTCTTCCAGCCTCTGGCTGTGCTCTCCCCAGTCACGTCCGCCCCTTTGCCAAAAGAAAAGCAGACACGGCCGACCCATGTGCCACCAGAGTCATTCGGGAGGCGCACACCCACCCCATGCCTACCGTGTGGCTGGCTGTGCCATACACCGAGGGCTCTGGAGAAACGGGCAAAGGACCGGAAGTGACGTTGCCCCAAAGACAGATGAACGGCCAGAGGCTCGTGAAGAGGCGCCCAACGTCACCAGGGAGACGCCCATCCACCCACCGCGAGACATCCACCCCGACGACGACGCCAGAGTCAGAAAGACAGACAAGGGCTGGGCAGGCGTGGGAAGCTGGGTCCTTGCGCCTGCTGGCAGGAGGGGAGAGTGGCATGGCCACCACGGGACAGCCTGGAGGTCCTCAGTGCTGCACGGAACGGCCACGAGGCCCCGCGCCCTCCCTGCGCAGGCGTCCGCCCGACGGAATCGCATCCAGAGAAACCGGCTCGTAAGCGTCTCCAGCAGTGAGATCCACAAACTAAAGGCAGAAGGACCCGGATGTCCAGACCCACAAAGGGCAAAACACGACTCGAAGTGTCCACGGGCCGTGCCAGAGACAGGACGTGGTCTGCGGTTGTCCAGGGCGGGGGGAAGGAGGTGCTTGGGGGCAGGGCTTCTCTCTGGGGTGATAAGGATGTTTCAGAACTGAGCACCCACAGCCCTCAACTGCACATTTCGGTGGCTCAACTGCACGGCATGGGAATTACACTTTAATAAAGCTGCTTCTTAAAAGTTCCAGACAGGAACTCTGGAGATTACCATCCACAGTGCCTGTGCCAGAAATCCTCTAGACTGAGCCTGCACCAGAGCCGCCCACGGTGGATGCCAGGCGCAGGCCAAGAGGGAGGCCCGAGAGGGAGCCCCTTCTGTGAGGCGGAGGAGTGTGCGCAATGTCGGCCAGTGGGGGCGGCTGCTCGCCGTGCTCGTCTGCTCACCCATCTGCGTTTCCCACGGGCAAAACAGACTAAGTGACACCACAGGACCGCGCTCAGTAGGCGCTTGAGCACTTCACGCCAACTGATCAGACTGCTCCCAGCCTGGGGCTCGGAGCACACGCACGGCTCCAGTCTGAGCCCCCAGCCAAGGCGCAGGGCCTTTCGGCTGAGGGAGGGAGGGGCAGCGCGGGGAGCCAGGAATTGCCGCCGAGCGGGCTCAGAGGGAAGCAGCATGTGGGCAGGGGAGCCAAGCACGCAGTAGGGGCTGGACCGGGGCCTGCCGGGCCACGGATCTCGCCTGGGTAGGGGGCGCGGGCACAGCCCGCCCAGACGGTGGAGACGAGGCAGGCTGGCTGGGAGCAGGGCACAACTCTGCGGGCGACAGCCCACATCCTCCCGACAAGCCTGGGGCCCTCCTGAGCTGGCGGTGCTGCCCACAAGCTGCGGTGTTGGCAGGAAGGTAGGCTTGGACTCCCCGAGGAGGACCTGGTCCAGCGTCCTCAGCCCCGACAGCGTGGAGGCCTCGGGGAAGTGGCCCACAAACCTGCCACCCGGGTTCCCCCATAGGACCCCGAGCACCGGCTCCGGTGAGGATCTCCACAAGTGACCCCACCGGGAGGCCCGGGCTGGACCAACTGGAGATCAGAGAGAAGCCCAAGGAGAGCGCACCTACGGAGGTGACATGGGGAAGGAGGAACTTCTCCACCGTCAACAGGGCGAGACCAAGAGCCTCAGCGCGTCCTTACGCAGGCAGGGAGCTGTGACTGAGGCGCCACGCCTGCACTGCCCCCCACCGAGGGGGCTGCCCTGGGCCGCAGGATGGCTCCTTGCCCTTCCTGAGTCAGGGCTCTGAACAGCAGCCTCCGCCTATCCCGTCCCGAGGCTCGGCCCCCCTGGTTGAACACGGCCAGGGCACCCGCCACTCACCTGGGGGGCGGAGGCAGCACCCGGCCTTCACTCGGCCTCTTGTCAGAGCCGTAACTACCCCAGCCGTCGCGGGCGTCCCGGCCGTGGCGGTCCGGGGGTCCTCCGTGGCCGTGGCGGTCGTCTGAGTAGTGCTGGAAGGCAAACGGGGGACAGGGTGACACTCCGCCTTGTCACTCCTAGCCAGGCCTGTCTTTCCGGAGGCCTGTCCATCTCTGACCCGTGGCCGAGAGGCCTGCTGAACCCGCCGCTGGCCCTCTGCTCCCAGCAGACCCCGCTTCCCGACGCTCCTTTGCACCTCACAGCAGCATCACTGGGCCCCCTAAGCCACCCTGTGAGCATGGGCAACCAGTGCTTTCCAGCCCTGGCTGGCCCCACTCTGGGTCCACGGAGAAGTCCCTGAGACCTGTCCCCGAAGAGTCAGGAGTGCCTCCCCCAGGGCGGATCAGCCCCCTCGGTGCTCAGTCACCTGACACCTGGAGTAGACACTGTGAACGCCAACCCCCCCTTATCCTGGCTAGCAATGCTGCAGTCAGTTCCCAGGGACCTTGGCAGTGGGCGACAGCAGTGCCGTACCCTCTCCCTGCCCTGTTGTCAAAGCCGGCACCCTGACACCGTCTCCTGCCTCTCTCGGCCCTGCTGCTCCGGAGTCACACCCTGTCCCCCACCCCCACAGGCAGCCCAGACTTGGGACCCCTCTACGGTCTTCAGCACCAGTACCCAGCACACCCCCTGAAACAAAGGGAGCCCAGCAAGCGTGGGCTGCACGGCAAATGCCTAACTGCCTGCTGAGCGGCTGTGGAGCTCTGGGCACCCAGCGACAACTCGGGCTCTCCAAGCGGACAAGCAAAAGACACCTTCAGGCTGCACTGACAAGACTAGGTGGGAACAAGCCCTGTGAGTCTGAGACTGCAGACCGGCGAGTTCAAAAACCATCAACTACCTGCACTTCGAAGCTGGCCATGACGGCCACTTCCGCCCCACCCCACGTGGACCTCAGCAGGTGCTCCTGACACAACAGCAGGCTGGCCTGGGCTTGGTGTCTGGGCATCACTCACCTGTCCATCTCGCTCACCCATCACTGGCCTCGAACCTTCCCTCCTGCAAAAGGAAAACATCTCGTTCAAACAGCAGCTGGCAGCATGACACATTTCTGCAGGCCACACAAGTCTCACAACTGGGACGCTTATTCTGTTCCACCATCTAAGCGCTTACTGGCCTGGAAAAAATGAAGACAAGCTCGCGCTCATCAAAGGCTTTCCCAGGGGTAGGAGTGAAGTCGGATCCTAAGATGGTGGGAATAAAGATTTTACTCAAGCTTCCTTGGGGAGGTCTCCAAAACACAGCCCATGCCATGAATCCAACACCGAATCCATCCGTAGCCCAGGGAGCAAAGTCAGGGCCCCAGGGATGCCAGGAGCCTCCGAGGACCCCCAGCTCCAGCCAGAACTCACTACTCAGGGTCCTCTCGGCACACCCACCCCCACTCTCCCTTTTCTGTCGCCCCGTTTAGAGGAGCCAATGAGCAGGAATGTGGCTCAGGGACACGCGGCCCAGGGGCGTACAAGGAGAAACCCAAGGCAGGGTTCTCAGGCTGTCTTATTCCATACGCCAGATACACTCCTCATTTTAAAAGGCACCGGGAGAACACTTATTTTTTCAGTCGGAGTCTCACTCTGTCGCCCTGGCTGGAGTGCAGTGGCACGCTCACAGCCACTGCAGCCTCGACCTGCTGGGCTCTGGCGATCCTTCCGCCTCAGCCTTCC